TAGGAAGGCTTGGCCACTTATGATCAGGTAAAAAAAAAACTTACCTGACGACCAGCATCAGTTGATTATCCTGAGTCAGTGGCTGACTCTCGTAGCATACGTTCAGGATTCATAGGAACCGAAGGCCCCATCCAATGAAGGCCTAGTTGAGGCACTCAGCAAGTATTTATGGAACCACTCCGTGTTGGGTCGTGCACCTGGCCGTGGGGATAAGAATAAAGGAGAGCAAGCCTGCCCACCAGGAGCTTACAGTCTAACATAAGAATAGACAGCACCTCGGAGCCCAGGGAGAAAACTTTCGTGGTGTTGTGTGGAACCTTCCCAATTTCCCAAAAACGAACCTAAAATTTGCCAGGAGGCGGTTTGGAAATGGAGATACAGTAAATTCTCAAAGATTAAAATGCTGACCTTTCGCATTACAAACCATGGAATCTGAATGAGGACAAACTTAGGAAAGCTTGACATATTTTAAAGGCCTTGGACCAGATTTGAATTTTAGAAAAAAGTTTAATGATTTTCTTCTCTTTGGATAACATTTTATTTTATGGTGACACTTATATACACATACATAAAAGGTTGTGTATATTAGATGTGTTCACTCGGGCTTTTGATACAACTCGCACTTCTACAACTAACGAATTCACAACTAAAAACAGCATAAAGATAAAAATTCCAGGCTTCCTTTTGAAGCTGCCAGTATGCTCATTTGAATGGGTGAAATGGACATATGTCGAATCATCTTGAGGATATACAACTTGGCACAGCTTTAGCTTGCAACAAGACTAAACCATATCTGCTTAACAATGTGTGCTGCCATGAGCATTAATTCCTGACTAAATGTATGGCATCTATAGTACTCAAGTGTCTGGATGTTGATTCCTTCCTCCCTCACACTTCCTGTTATCCTGAGAGCTTCTTAGCAGGATACAGAGCCTCGGAGGGGGTTGGGCTGTAATGGTAAACTGCGCTTTGTTCCATACTCTGGCAGCGCCCTCCGTTGGCAGCACTTCCCTTAGTGGTGCCAGCCGGAGCCCTCACATGAGCTTCTACTACCCAGCAGCTCACAGTGACCGTGGGAGAGCAGTCAGGAATGAGCACCCGGCCTCCTGGGCGGCGTGTCATCTCGTGCTCCACATCATCACACGGTGAACATGGCTCATTCTGGGAGCGGAAGGGGGTGGGGGGTGGAGGCGCCTGCCACAGCAGGCATGTAGGTGTTGGGGCAGGAGACCGCACAGACTACGAGTAGGTACAAAAAAAAAAGTTTTAAAAAACAGAGCAATCTGGGGCAAATGGGTGTACATACTTCAGGGCTGCATCATTTTATAGTAACTGATATGATTAACAGTGGCATACATTGTTATAGCCCTTTACATTTTATGAAGTTTTACATATATTAGAGCTCCTTGGGTATTTTAACAGCACATTATGAATATAGCTTTACCTCTTATCAGGAAAATGGGAATTGCAACTGAGCATGCTGTTTAAGAACGCAGGGAGATGTACTAACATATCTGAAAGACTTTCATCAAAAGTAACTACAAGTTTAAAATTTTGGCACTTAAGATATGGAGCAATTATCAAAAAATTCACATATCTGGTATTTTTCATGACCAACACAGGGTGTTATTGGATAACCTGTCACAGCACTCTCAGTGACTGCTGGTCAGCAAATGGACGATTGTCAGCAGTAAATGATCAGATTTGGATTCCTGTAGAACACCAGCTTAGCAGATCCATACAGATGCCAATCCTGTCTGAAGGCTAATTCAGAAGCAAGGTTCTACAGGGCAACCAGAGCATTTCCCCATTGCACTTTCTAGAGCACCACCTCTAACCACGACAACAATCTCAGCTCCAGAAAGAAGCACAGCGGGAACATGGACTTTCTTTGTTTGTCTTCCAAGAATTTGGGAGACCCTTTTCTCAGGGGTGCAACAAGGAGAAATGACAGACCACACGCGTGGCTTAAGTGCTTTGGGTCTGCTGGGGGAAAAGACCACACGCGTTTAAAAAACGTGAACAGAAGCCAGCCACTTCCTTTTCTCAACCGAACTTAAGAGCTCCAATACATTTGATCGACACCAGAACACTGCCATAAATATTGTTCTGCAAAGAAGCTTTTAACAACAGAACAATTCATATACTTTAAAAATAAGGCCTTTGTATTTACCGGTGATCCTGAATAGCAAGGACTGAATGAAACCGGGAGTGAAGCACACCAGGTCAGACTCTGCACTCTAAGTAAGAGGCCCCTGAAACAGTAGTGACGCCTGTGGTACTCACGACGCCCTCAATTTCTTGGTTCTTATTCTCTGAGCACTCTGAGCATGGGACCTCGTGGGAAAGCTTACCATTTTGCTGAGTTTTCTCTTAATTCTGAATTCTCAGAGGAGTGTTAAGGTTAGAGTGTGATTTGCAATTATGCATTCCATCCTGATTGTCGCACTGGGCTGATTTCTGGGATTCCAGAATTCCCCCTAGGATAAAGAATAAAGTTCTCTATGGAGAGGGAACTGAGGCGTGGATTAACCAAATCACTGTCTAGAAGCTGGGATTGGATTGCTGTGGATGACACATGTGATCACCTGTATGTCACATTAATCTGCTTTTCCCACATCAGGGTGATGTGACCCTGATGGCGGGAAATGCACCCTGGCAATTCCTTGTCCTGGATGGATACGAATTCCAAAGCGTGCCCCATGATTCTCTGGAGGAGCCCCTCCATTAGCTCCCCAGGGACTAGAATGCCCAGAGGGGCTTGTTCAGGTCATCAAGGACCTCCCAACCCAGGCCCACCTGGCCACATTCATTGCCTACCTGACCCTGATTCTACCCAAGCTTTTAACTGGCGCCATGGCCTGCACCCAAGAAGTCGAAAGCTCCTTTCAACAATTAGAGAACGAGGGGATATCTATAATCCTGAGGCTGGAGGATTCAGATTCCGGTCACTATGAGAATTGCTTATAGACCCCTTTGTCAGTTTCCTTATGAGTTTCTGTCTAGTACACCATGCCCTCCGCCAGCAGGCTGGGACAGTTGGGGTTGATACCATCATTGCTAGTGCTGTGGAGCAATCGTGGGTTTTCTGGGCTACTCATGGTGCAAAATGTTCTCACCTTTCTCACCTATAGTATCGCTCATAAAAATGGAAATCTTAAAATTCACCCTTTAGCCCAGGCAAGTGAGGGAGGAAGGAGAGAACACACTTTGAGTAATGCATCCACAACTTGCAGCGCCAGCCACGGCATCTGCGCTCATTTGCTAGCGCCCTCGGGTTGCCTGAGTCACACAAACTGAACGTGGGAAATTCCTGCGGCTATCAGTGATTGCTCTCACTTGCCGGATGCAAGGTATTAGCCCACCAGACAGAACCTGAGCGATGACTGGGAAATCAGGCAGAACAATGACTCGTCTGAGGCAGAGGAGGCCATTTTGAGGAAATGGGTTGATAAGATCAACCAAGCCCAGTGGGAGCAAGACCATGCCCAGCTGAATCTTCTCAGACAACTAGCTAAATGAGGCGAGATCAATAGAGCAGGGCCATGGGGATCGTGGCCCCGCAGCTCCAAATGAAGATGGAGAGTTCTGGTAGTATATCACCTGGGACCAGTCAGCCCCACCCCCCAGCCTGGAAGCCAGCAAACTCAGGGCCCAGGTTGGCAGACCCCACCGCCACCACCCCTTGTCAACTTGTGACAGTAAGCAGAGTGAACACGGAGGAGTTGAGGACACTGAGAGCACAAGGGACACCCATAGTACCATAGAAAAGGAGGACCAGGCGTCCGTCCCCGAATCTTCTCCAGAAGGAAATGAACGCCCTCCTCAAGAAAGCTCCAAGGCAGAGTCTCTGGTGTGGATCCCTTTGGCTAAGCAACATCAGGGAGGCTACACTCACAGCAGAGCGTCTCCTGGAGGGAACGATAAAGGCCTGGCCTCCATTCTTCTGGATTCAGAGAACCCAGTTGGGGTAGGGAACAAAGGACAAGCCATATCCGCACCAACTAGTTTCCTAGACCCCAGGGTGTGGGAAACTGTCCTTCCATGACAGATCACCTAAAAGATGGTGACATGTACCTGGACAAACAGGCAGTCGATGCTATATCCCTTAGTGTGAGGAAAAAACTCTTTGCCTGGTAGTCCGGCTCATGATCTTTGCAAACTGCTAGCCAGTGACTAAGCCTCTACAGACCTGGTCGTTTTGAGCCAGTGATCCTCCTGGTAGGACACCAGCAGTGGCATCTCTATCGCGATACCTCCATCATGGAGAGTATCCCCAGAATAATCAGGGCCTGAGACTCGCTCCCATGCACTGCTATTTTATGCGACCAAACTTTTTGTACCCATTCTTGACCTCCACTGGTCCATGAGGAACATTAAAAAACATATATATAATTTAAAATTCTCAAGTCAATTTTTTGCCCTTTTTTCCTTCTGTGCCTTACAAGTACTTTACGTGGTTTAAAAAATTTTTTAAGTTACGTAAGTGTACTGGATGTTTTGCCTTGTAGTTGATGGTACTGGTTCTCATGGAAATTCTTAATCTTGTAGATGTTCTGTTACACGGTGCAGAGGTAAGCCAGCTTTGTAATAAAGCACTTCCAGTGGATGCTAAGCAAATGGAAGGCTGATTTAATGTTCTTTACAAACAGAAGGCCAAGCGGCGGAAGAAGAAGCACAGATGAGCCTCAAACAGACTGAGTGTGAGCCCCGGGGCTCCACCTCTGTGACCAGGGCAAGTCACTGGGTTTCTCGAGCCCTTTGCTCCCTCCGGTCTCCCTTGTAGAGTTTTGTGAGGACTGGTGGTAAAGTGTGGACATGATTGGAGCCATGACAGGTTACTTTCTGGGAGGTAGCAGACTCTTGGATGATTGAGCTGGTGAACATGCGGGGCTGGCATCTGACATGGGCTCATTCTAAAGGGATGCAATTTACAGGCTTGTTTTGAACCTCAACAGTCACTGTACACAGTACCTTATTTTTCATGATAACCACGTGAGTGCTTTTTCCTCCAAAATTTTATTTTAAATATTTCTCCCCCAAGTTTACGACATGCCTGTTTTCACTGTGCTTTTGTGGTATTCTTTTTATGACCACAATAAATCTACAATTTTTTTTTAAACATTAGTGGCAAACTTATGTAATTAAAAAAATCTGTTCTACACCCAGCATTGTTCCTAACTTGCATATACACTTGTACAGGAAGGCTGTTTGGAAGGGCCTACAAAGAAATATCGTTTTTATTAATGGAGTTGAATTGCTTAAAATTTTCTAAAGTATTTCTAATACTTTGCACCTTCTGGCTGAATAACTCAGCAATTACTTCTTTTTGCAATCTACTGGCCAATTTAAGAGTGCTCACACTAATGCACCTTACAGACGGAATCAAGTGTTCACAAGTCATTAATAGCCAACAAAATACAGTAGAAATTGCCCTGAGCAAGGAATTAGGAGACTTGAAATGAAGTCCTGGCTCTGCCACCAACTTGGCAGGGTGAACCCCGGGCAAGACAATGAACTTCTCTCATGCGTCAAACTGGGATTGACTCTATTTTAAGTTTATTTCTACTTCTAAACTAATTTTCATTTACTTAAGAAAACAAAACAAAACCAAAAACATAAACATAGAAAAATCAAAACATCTTTCTGGGAGTTGTGTTAAGCACCAGATGGGATAGAAGTATTTACTGCCTTAAGGTAGTGTTTGTCAAGGGCAACTGAGGAACTACCCAAGAAAGATGATTCTTGCCACCTCCCTGGGTTTGTATCTCCGAAGTAGTGCTCAGCTCTCTGCATTTTTCACAAGTTCCTCAATGAGCTGAGAATCAGCTTAAGAAAACATGATTTAAATAACTCCAGCTGCCCGCCTTCACTGTGGCGGGGACTGAGAAAGCGCTGACCTCAGAGCGGTCAGCCTACAGTCTCCTGTCAGCACCTCATCCTGACCCTGGTTACTGTTCACTGTTCTGACGTCAGCTGAAAGGAGATTGAGACTCTCCCTTTACTGCCCACACTCAGGCTGACAGGGTGCCAACCTGGCTCAAGGACGAAAGTCAAGTAAATTATTACCCCTTCACACTTGACACTGTCTCGGCCCCAAACCAACAGTGCGAGAGGACTGCAAAAGTTTGTGGAAAATGGAATGGAAAAAAACTGGAAATTTCCCACACACTTTTCTACAGCCCCTCATGTCCCATGTCATCCTGTGGGATTGAAATAACCCGGCACAGAAAATACAGAACACTTGTCACATTGCTATTGCAGCCAGATACTGTGCTACCCGATTCATAAGCCTCTTCTGTACAAAAGAAACGAGCCATGTCCATCCTTCCCCTCCTTTCTACTGCTGCTGACAGGAGCAAAATGCCAGAGGAGGGCAGACAGAAGCAAAGCAAATTACAGAAAGAAATGGCTATCTTCTTTCTAGACTTTCACAGCGTGCAACACCCCTCTCAGGGCGAAAAACTGTGTATCACTTTTAACAGGCAACTTAAAAAATTACTTTGTTGCAAGACCAATAAACGGGGAGGAGGATATCACCAGTATCTGTGCTCTTTATGAGAACTATAAAAGCAACTTTAAAGGGTCAAGTATATTCAAGTATAATTGAAAATGAAATCTGGTTCTACAACCAATATGCCAACATAGAACTTCAGGGTTTCATTCGCGCCTGTGGCCACAAGTTTCTCCTATCCCAACTCAAACTCCTGCCAAATGCCCACAAAACTCACGTTAAAACGAAACCACTAAAAACATTATCAAAAAGAAAAATACTAAGAGAGGAGAAACAAAAGAAGTAACAAGGAGTTACCATGCAAAGGACCCCGAGGGCTGGTGAGCCAGGCACAGGGCCAGCGGGCACAGGGGTGCCAAGAGGGCTGCGGCCGCCAGCCTCCAATGGGAGAGGCCTGTAGGAGGCTGGATACCAGGCCTCAGGTCACAGGTGTATAAAATGGACCCACAAGAACCAGAATTGTGACCCAAACTTAGAAGATCTTCTAAGAAGATAATACTTCACCTAAATTGAAGTAATTTATAAGTCAAACACCAGAAGAGTTCCTTATTTGATGTCAGTTGTGCCTAAAACTTTGGCTGATACAGGGAAACCCGCCCGCTAAGGCACCCGGAGGCAATCTGACAGTGTGTGGGAGAGAACTTTGTGGTCAGGACCACATCGTTGTGAGAGTACAAGGAACGAATCACTCGAAGGGGACTGGCTTCTTTGGGCAAACAGTCAACAAGTTCATTGCAGTGTTTGTCAAATCCCAGGAGGCGGATCCCGTAGCCGTGAGGGGAAGAAATCATTCGCCCATCGGGGCTGAAGCACAGTTCTTTGATGTAACCCCTGCCTACATTGGCTTCTTCAATGTAATGCGTCAGTCGGAGTGAGCAGCGAGGTGACACAGGTCGCACGGGAGCACCTTCTTGGAATTCGTAGACACAAGTCCACTAGGGGAAGAGAAGTGAGAGACAAAGGTTAGAGCCCCAACAGTAGTACCCCACACCAAACCCATGGCAGGGAAGTCAGCTCTGCTGCCGTCGCCCTGGTTTACAGGGTTTGCAAGACTGTGAGTCTTTATAAGAACAGATTGCTGACTTTGTGGCTAGTAGCCCAATGCCTAGCTAGCTCACAGCCCTGTCAAGGCTCCTTAAAAAGTGCCTTAAATAGTGCTATGGGCATTCCTAATTTTTGCTTTTTAAAATTGTGAATTGAGTGGATGGGTGGGGTTTGACTTCATATCAGCATCTGTAGATGCAAAGGCTAAACCACTCAATACCCCTCCTCCCAGCCCCACCCTTCATTCTACTCCACCCCTAATTTCTCTTTTTCCTCTGGCAGTCCCTCCATTCTCCTTTTCAACCGAGTTAACACCTGTGAACCTTCTAATCTGCTGCTTCTCTTTCCTTCCCCAGCTTGGCAACCTTCAAAGTTTGTGCTCTTCGGAATGTTAAGTCTCTGTCTTGGTCTTTATCCTTATGGTAGCGATCTGGTTTGGTGTTTGCCCTGTTGTGATCACTCAGTATAATGTTCTCCAGATCTGGGCAGGTCATGAGGTGCTTTGTGGTTTTGTCATTATTTTGTTAGGAATACATAGTATCCCATTGTATGTATGCACCAAAGCTTCTTTATCCATTCTTCTTCTGATGGGTAAATTTGGGCTGTTTCCAACCTCTTGCTATTGGACTGCAGATGACCATGGGAGGGCATGTCTGTTTCTGTTATGACGTTCTTCTTTAAGACATACACCAGCAGCAGTACTGCTGGGTTGCATGGAACTTCTACTCCCAGTTGTTTGAGGCAGTGCTGTATTTCCCACAGTGGCTGTACATATTACAGAACTACCAGCAGTGTATGAGGAGCCCAGCTTCTCCTCAGCTTCTTCAACAGGTTGTTTGTGTTTGAATGTGGCAGCCCGTGTCATTGTTTTGACTTGGATCTCCCACATGGCCAGTGATCATAAGCATTTCTTCTTGTTTGCTGCCAATGTGGATGTTGTCATTGGTGAACTGTTCGTTCATGTCCTTCGCCCACTGTTTGAGTTATTGGGGTTTTTTCTTATTGAGGTACAGCAATGTTCTATAGATTCTTGCTTAGTTCCTTATCTGGGTTCTTTTATTCTTTTGCTGCACCTAACAAATTGGGATCTGGATTGGGATTGCATTGAAAATACAGACTGCCTTGGGCAGCACTAACATTTTCACAGTATTATTCACAGTGGACTTCACTATGTATTCCTTATTTTTAAAAGACTTGCCAGAATGCCAAAGTTACATAATTGCTGCAAACAGTCATCCCAGAGGACTCATGCCTTCTTGTCTTGACCCAAAGTACCAACAGAGGCTCTTCCAGGCTAAGATTCTTTCAAATCTCTTCCCTGAGCTGTCTGTGATTTCTGTGATCAGGTAGCAGATCCACTTTTATGAGGGCAACAGCATTCTTGAGAATCAAAAAACTCCATACCTTCTCCGAGGCCTAGAGTGCCTCTCCCTCCACCAAGTTCAAAGGTTCTTCTCCCCTTTGACTTGTAGCCTTTAGTCAATGCCACCTTCAGAAGACCCACTTTCCAGAGAGATAAAGATGATGTGGTTATTTAAGAATTTTCACCCTCATCAGTTTAGTCCTGTCCTTCCCCCAGAGCATTCCTTGGATTTTAAAAAATAAATTATAATATTCAATTTGCTTTGGAAAATCTCATATTTAGTCAACTGAAAGGAAACGTCTCAGACCTGTGTTTACTGTGTAAGGGTTTTTCAGGGTGAGATAAAGGAGCCAAGAATGAAGATGGTGGCACTATCAGAGCTGGTGATCCCGCCCAGCTTGCCCTGCCCAGGAAGGGACAAGGCACAAGAGTTTACATGGAATAATGACACCATGGAAGAGCAGAGGAAGGGGACAGGCAAGTCAAGAAGCAGGAGGGCAGAGCCTGCCGAGTGGTCACCAGAAGGTCTGCACACATGGCAGCCAGACTTAGTCCACCCCCCATGGCACCCCTACCTCCTGATCATCAGTGTTACTGGAGCACCGGAGAAGAGTGGCCCAGCCTTTGGGGTGTAGCTGTAGGGACGTGATACAATTTCCACGGTCTCGCTCACCAGGAACTTCAGGGGTTAAGACTTCAAGACTATTCCTGGGTGAAACTCCTGAGAGAAAAGAAAATGAGGATGAGATTTATACTATCAAAGGACTACGGCAGTTTATCAATGCTTTGGTTTTGGATAGTCACCTCCTACGCCTTTGTTCCTTAGTCTGCTGCGTACATATCAAGTATGACATCACACTCAATGTACAGACGGGATGTGTTGCTGGGGTCAGAGGAGAGGAGAGTGCATGACTACAACCAAAGAGTTCAAGTTCCCCTTGCAGAAATCACCAGTGACTTAAGCACGACAGTGACTTAGGGGGTCCTTTTGGATTTCGCCTGTATCTCTCTCAGCTCTTTTTCTTCAAGTGAGAAACACAGTTACATGGCATAAAGGGAACTTAGAAAAAGTAAAGATACAATTCTCATCGCAACTGACCTAGCACTCTCTAGTTTACAGAACACTTGGAAACCGTGAGAATGACCTTTAAAAGAATAAAAGGCTATTATGTATGCAAGTAGAGTGGTTTCTTATGCCCCTCAGAACAAGGCTATAAATAAGGAGGAGGCCAGTAACACTGGAGGTGCAGGGAGAGGGGGCACCTCACACAGAGGCATGTCAAAACAAGGGCTGGGAGACAACCCTATATGAGAACCCTTTTTGTTCCGGGAGACTGCTATTCCCCCACAATTTCCTACTGCCTAGCTCCAAAGGAAAATAATGGCTCAGGTATGGTGAACCACTTTCATATACAATATTAAGAGAACTATTTCAATGCTTCTCTGCTAGTGGAAGGTGTTGCTTTGAAAGTAATGAACCTTTGTGAATTGTTTCTCAGACAGATTTCTACCTTCTCCTTAAGATTCCCTTTAGATTGTTGAACATGGACAGAAACTGGTGAAGTTCTAAATTGCATTCCTACAACTCAATCTGCACCTAAATAACAATTTCACATGCAATTTAACTAACACTTTTAGAGAAAAACAAATCCCCATTCCAAGAATTAGTTTGAAACCTAACAAAAGCAGAGGGAAGCGGGGAGATGGGTTTGGAAAGAGCAGAGGGTCAAAGGCCTCCCTAATTTCACTTGGATCAAAGCGCAGCTCCACTTCTTACTTGTGCCATGTCCCCAGGGATCCACAGAATCCACTTCAAAAGTAGATGTCTAACTCTGACCTGAGTTATTATATATACTTGCTCAAGGACAGTGCTGGCATATTCTGATACGCAGATCTTCCACATTCAGAGTAAGTTCACCTATAACCCAACTTCCTAGGCTTCTTCCTCCTTCCGCCCTCTGACTTCCTTCTTGAATGCTAGCTGGTAGAATCTGTTGTTATAAGATTATAAAATCCAACTTTTAACCTACCTTCTCTTTGAGAAGCTCGTGACATGTGTTTCTCAGAAGGTGAATTAGAGTCACTATGATGACAAGGTGATACAGAAACTCTAGGACCAGATGAACTTGACGAAGTGGTCAAATCTTGAAAATACAAAAAGTTCTGAGATAAACCTAGCATAACTTGGGTAGTGTCTCTTATGTATAAATTACCTACTTGAATCATACTTTAGAAATCCACCTACATCATGGTAAAGTGCATGCCCTCATAAAACTGGCCTATCACTAACAACAAGGCAGGCAAGACAGCTCTTAAAAAAACAAAAACATTTCTACTGAACTAACTTGTGTGCAAGAAAAATGAAAAAGAAAAATATAGGAGCATGCCTGCTTCCCCACCATCTCTGCAGTGAGGCAGAACCAGGGGAATTCAAGGAAAACGAAAACGGAGCTGTTTCACCTGCAGTTTTAATGGTAGAGCCCAGGTGGCTAGTGGTTACAAGTTGGGCTGCTAGCCACACAATAAGCAGTTCAAATCCTCCCGCCACTCCCCGGGAGAAAGACAAGGCTTTCTACTGCAGTCCAGAGGTAGTCTCAGAAACCCACAGGAGCAGCTCTACACTGTCCAAGAGGGTCATCAAGAGTCAGAATTGAACTGATGGCAATTTGAGTTTGGTTTTTTTTGTTTTTTGATGGTCCAATCAACAGGCCCATTAAGGGGAATGTGAACATGATCCTTTGAAAGGACACTATAAAAACTTGTATTACCATTCTTAAAATTATGTAACTATTATTATGCTGGAAGTTCTTGAGCTTGATTTAATAACTCCAAATTACAATCTCCATTTTATCATACTTTCCTGTTTCTCACTATGCTCAAGTTGATGAGCAATGTTAAAAAAAAAAGCAATTATGAATCTGGAAAACTATACTTGTAAAGTTATGAAATCATTTGCTTGCATATAATAAAACATTAGTTTCTTTCAGCAGCAAAATTGGGCAACTGCAGTGCACTTATGCCCACATATTCGCCAAAGAATCTTCCAGAGTGACCTTCTGCACATAAGCAAAAGATTATAGTCTGACGATTTGAAGCTGCTTTTAATAACAATTTATGAACATTCTGGTTTCTAAATGTTTAAATCTTCTCTGCTGGGTTTTGTTCATCATGGCAACATTATAAATTCTGAAAATGTTCCCAGACTAGACCTCTTTATCCCAAAGGTGGATGAAATATCATTATCATCTTTGTCACATAATATAGATCAAATATAGTACTAAGTTCTTCTGCGCTCAGGAGAACTTAGTCTAATAGAATCAGCAATAAGAGAAGGAGAGGGCTTTAGCAAGAGAAATAGGAGGTCATGAGAGAAAACGTGTCTGGAATGTTGAAGTCTAGGATACAATAGAGACTTAAAAATGAAACCTTAGAAGCTCTGCGGGCTTCCTGACGGGCTGAAGAAGACTGACACTGCACTGGGCCCTCACTACTATTGGGAAGCGATGCTTTGGGGATTGCTGATGAAGAGTCTGTTTAGCAGAGAGCTAAACTACTATCAGAATTAGCAGTTCTTCACAGACCATTTTTGAAGTTAGAGCCCCAAACTGATGCTATGTCTGAAATACATACAGATTTCTGTACTTTTTTAAGAGAACTATCCCTGAATTTTCCAAAGAATGTAATTTCAGTTCCTTCCCTTCTTGCTTCTGTGATTCATGGAATGGAAATACATACCATCCTTATGTCTTGAGATTCTATAGAAAACTGTGCTAATATAGAGGTGAACTTACCTGAACTGGATGTCGTTCTTCTTGCTCTCAAAATAGGATAGCTGCCTACTTCTAAAGACTTGGTTAAGTCAAGATCATGTAAAATCAAGAGATAGCCAGAGGAAGTCGAGATCAACATTTTGGAACAATCTGGTGTTAATCTCATTCGCATGAGAAAACGTGTATGAAAGAATTTCTTATGTGGACACCCATCTTCTGTACACCTATAGAAGTCAAACCAATACAAACTAGAGTTAGAATGATCATAAATATAATGGCTCAGTGATATTTTATTTACTCCTTAAACTAGACTGTACAATGTATACATGAACGATGGTGAGTCAAAAACATTGCTATAAAAAAATTATAGACCCCATAACAAAATTATCAAAATGTGAAGCTACTGTTTCTCAGCTTCTTCTCCACCTAGGTGAACACCCTTCTAACCCTCCTCTGAAGAATTCTGCATGGTTTGCTTTACACCACATCAAACGGCAGTTTGGGCTTCCTTAAGGGACTCAAATGATGTTCCTTTGCAATGGTCTTTGAGTTTTGGGAACAAGAAGTCTGAAGAGGCAGTAGCAGGGTGGTAGGGTGGATGAGGTAGAGTTTCCCAATGGATTTCTCATAGGATAGTCCTGGCTGCCCCGGGAGAATAAGACGCACTGTCATAATGGCAAAAATTGCTCAGCGCCACTTTCCTGGCTTTCCCCTCACCAATCCAGTTCTCAATGATCGTCCCATGTCCTTTGAGAAAACCTATCAAAATGACCACTTTGGATAAACAATTGTACATTGAGGGATTGGAAATGGATGAATTGTAACAAAACGTATATAAATTGTTGCATGTAAAACTGATAAAGTTTAAAATGACCACTTTGGAATCCCAAAACAGTCACCATAACCTTCTGAGATGACAGCTCTGCCTTGAATGTAACCAGCTTAACAGATGCCCCTGCAGTCACTGTTCTGATTAGACTTTCCACGGTGGATGGAACTGACAAAGCCAAGACTCACCCCCGGCTATAATTTATTCCATGAAATTGTCCCCAATTATTTCTATCTTGCTTAAAAATCTGATGGAAAGGTCAGCTCTTTAAGCTAGCTGATCTTCCTGAAACATTTTTTATTTTGTATTTTTATTGGGAGCTCTTACAGATAACAATCCATAATTCAGTTATACCAAGTATAATTTTACAGTTGCTACCACCATTAGTTTAAAACTTTTTTTTCTTGAACTCTTTGATATCAGTTCCCCTTTATCCCCTCCCCCCACCCTAACCTCCATAAACCTTATCATTATATATTATTATTTTGCTGGATCTTACAAGATTTTTTAAAAGTATTTGTTTTCTGAAGATACCCTACCAGAACTAGATTAAGTGTGTTACTGTGAGAACTTGTCTGCACCCATCCACTGATAGCAGGTATATTTAAACATACATATTTTGCTTGCAGGAAGCCCATCCGTGTATTTATGAACAAAGGAGTCCTGGAGGCCCAGTGATTCAGGCCGCTAAGTGCCAGGTCAGCAGTGAGAAACGACGACCGGCTCTTCTGAGTGCAAAAGATGAGGCTCTTGATTCCCCTACAAAGTTCCAGTCTTGGAAACCCATGGGGGCAGTTCTACTGCATCCCACAGTTTACTATGAATAGAATTGGCTTGATGACAGTGAGTATGGTGTTTGAGTTTGGCAAGTAGGAACTAAAACTTTGTAGCAATACTATTTTCTCACTATTCCATCAATTCCAACCTACCTTTTGTAGCCCTCAAGCTTTAAGACTCTGATGAGAATTAAACTTTTATTTTGAAAGTGCCTTCAGTTTCCTCTCCATTAAAATAATGGTCTAGCTAAGTATTTAACTTGAGGTTTGAGTGATTTCTTTCAGTATAGTTTTGATAGTATTCCTTTGAGTTCTGGGACCCATTGTTGCTATTTGTTACATCTTTTATCAGGGCTCTGGCTGGTTTAATTTTCTGTATTTGGAATGGGGCAGTTTCACTTTGCTAAGTGATTTCTCTTTATTGGGATTCATGCAACTTCTAGATTTTTAGATTTATATTATTCATATATTCTGAGAAATTCTCAGCTATTATCCCAATATTGTCTCTGAGCCATTTTCTCTAGTCTCCCTTTGAAGACCTAAACAGACATTGAAGCCATTCCTATTTGATCCTCCTTGTCTTATAACTGCTCTGTCATGTTTTCCATCCCCCCCTCTCTATGCTGTATTCTGGATAATTTTTCGCTAACTTCCAATCCCCAATCCCAACTCTGGGTTGTGTCTAACCCGGTTTCACTTGTCTAATATTTCCAAGTTTTTCCATAGTTGTGTGTATGTGTGTATTTTAATCAATTAAGTTCCATGTGGTTCTTCTCAAAAGCTGTAATTAGTTTAATTATTTGCCTGTGTTTCTTATTCTCTTTTATGCCCTTGTTAATGATCTAAAAACCGAGTAGCATACATGCAGCATACACAAAACATGAATTTACAGGAAAATAAACACTGCATATTAAAAAGTTGAAAATATTTTAGAAGTCCCTTCTATTTGTCTTATCTGTTGCATCCCAATATTTTGCTTCAAGGAACACTATCTTCTTTTACACAGAACCTCTCCAGATATGAAGGTCCTGTTTCTATGTAGTGTCTTTCACTCGAATCTTTACTTTAGCTGGCCCCTTGTACTACAGAGCTATCCAAAGCTCTCAGTTCCTGACTTTGAAGAACCTGCAGAGGCAGTTCTACCTTGTCCTACAGGGTTGCTATGAGTTGGCATCAACTCGATGGCAGCGATTGTACACTGACTTACGTTTTCCCCACTGCCAGCCTAGCATTCTTTCTTGGGCTGGCTACGTCATCTCAGTCAGTCACCACTCATCTGTTTTTCAGCTTCTAAAATTCTGTTTTGCTTCCCTTCCTATTCCCGCTTATGAACTTACACTCTTTATTGTGCTTTTAGAGTCCGCGTCCATAAACGATAACATTCTTCTAAAATTAAATTCCCCCTACAAATATTACACATACCTTCTGTCTATAAACATTTTATATATGTGTATATGTATATATATATATAAAACAACCTTCTGTTGTAGTTCATTCCTATACTCCAGATAACTTTTTTTTGGCCATTAAAAACTATATAGACTTCAAAAAAATTACCTTTCAAAATTGTTGGCTATGATGTACAAGAATGCTATTTTTATCTTAGACTTGGTTAAATATTAAGTCTGATGATCTGTCTGAAATCTATGTAGACCAAGAGTGGGCCAGATCTCGTCCATTAATTATTTTTATAGCAAGTTTTATTGAAACAAAACCACAGCCATGCATTTATGTGTTATTTATGGCTGCGGCGAGACCACATACTTGCTCCCTGGTTACTATTAAAGAAATGTTTTGTGACTCAATATAGAAACATGTGCATCAAGTCTTCATATGGACATGTTAGTTTCTCTTAGGTATATACAAGGGGGCTTCCAAAAGCTCATGGAGGCATTTTCATTATCTTTTAATTCCAGTTTTTAAAAAGCTTCTGAAGGTCCCTCATAATTGGTAATTGAATTAACTGCGTGGCTATATGGTAACTATGTTTAACATGTTAAGAAACTGGTTAGGTTGCTTTCAAATCATCTATGGATAATCATCTTTCCCCCTTTCTAATCCTTATATATTTTAATTCTTCTTCCTTTAATTGTACTAACTCCAACCCCACCTCATTCTCCATTAAGGCCAGGAAAAAAGTACTGACATTTCACTTTATTGGGCTTTGCAAATTTCACTTTTTTCCCCTTTTAAGACAAATTGAAGGTTGTGGTAACCCTCCATTGAACAAGTCTGTTGGCACCACTTTTCCAATAGGTGCTCACTTTATGTTTCCATGTCACATTTTGGTAATTGGCATGACATCCAAAATTTTTTCAAAATGCTACTGCATACTTAATATACTACAGTATCATAGAAACATAATTTTCATATGTACTGAGAAACCAAAACACGTGTGTGGCAGTATGCATTTTATTGCAGTGGTCTAGAAGAGAACTGGCAACATCTTTGAGTACTGCCTACACCTAAACTTCTTTCAGCAGTATTGCAGTTTCAGTGTACAAATTTCGTATTTCTCATGTTAATATATTCATAAGGGCTTTGTTCTTTTTGATGCTACTGAGAATGGAACAATTGTCTTAATTCACTAAAAAAAATTTATTAAATACTTTTATTGGGGGCTCTTACATCTCTTATCACAATCCATACATTCATCCATTGTGTCAAGCACATTTGTACATATGTTGCCATCATCATTTTCTCAATCCACTTTTAAGTTGTTTATCGTTAAGAAATGGATATATTACTGACTTATTAATCATACATTGTATGATCTTTCTGAACTTATTTGTTGTAATAGGATTTGTGAGTATGTGTGCACATCTAAATTCCTTAAGATGTTCTACATACAGCCATGTCATCTGCATGTAAAGATGACAGTTTTAGTTCATTCTGGATGCTTTTTATTCCCTGGTCCTCTGCTACAACGCGCCTCCTCCACAACTGACCCCCTGGCTTTGTCCCCAGTCTTTCAACAGTTAGTACGTTCATATCTGTAGGTTTCTCAGAGATGCCTTTTATCAAACTGCAGACATTATTTTATTCCTAGTTTTATCATGAAAGTGTTGGAGTTTGTCAAGTGCTTTCCTGAATATATTCAGATGATCATGAGGGAGTTTTTTTCTCTTGGTATGATGTATTGTATTAATTATTTGGGGATATTAAACCAAACTTGCATTCCCAGAGTAAATTCCACTTGGTCGTGGCCTATAATTCTTTACATGTATTGCAGTAATTGGCTTACTAAAGTTTTGTTGGGAGCGCTCAGGTGCTGCAATGGCTAAGCACTGTGTGGCTAACAGGAAGGTCTGCAGTCTGAAGCCATTAGCCAAGTTCTGGGAAAACAACCTGGTGATTGGCTTCCATCAAGATTACAGTCTCAGAAACCCAATGGGGCAGCTCTACCCTGTCCTGTAAGGTTGCTATGAGTTGGAATCAATTTGATGGCACAAAAACCAAAAAATATTTTGAGATCTTTTGCATCTGTATTCATGAGTCTGTCTGTTTCTTATGTTTTTGGCCTTGTATCACAGTAATACAGAATGAGCTGGAAGTGTTCTCATTTATTTTCTGAAAGAATTTGTTAAGACTCGGTATTCACCAGTGAAGCCATCTGAGCCTGGGATTTACACTGTGGAAAGATTTTTAAATTATTAATTTATTTGCTTGCTATATGTCTATAGCTCTGTGGGTTTTTTTATTTCCTTTATTTGTGTCTCTCTAGGTATTTATTTAGATATCTAGATTTTAACTAACTTGTCTATAATTTATCAGCATAAAGTTATTCATAATATCCTCTTGAATTCTTTAATTTCTATAAGGGCGGTAACAATATCTCCCCTCTTATTTATTTTAAATTATGACTAAACATGGAATATTACTCAATACTCTTTGTCTTTTGATAATAGTCATATAGATTTACCCATTTAATCTTTTAAAGTGATTTGTTTATTTTTACTAAACCATTATTTCATTCCTTGAATAAACCCAACTTGATCATATTTTGATTAATATCATACAGGATTCAATTTATTAATATTTATATAGAGCATGTGCCTGTTTTAAATAATTCCGTATTTAAAGATTGACCTTTCATCTTTTTTCTCTTAATATAAACTTTGTTGTGCTTAGGTAGCAAGGTCATAATTAGCTTCAATATCATAAAAAAAAAAAAAAAGAATATTCCCCTTTTTTAACATATGATTTATGAAAAGACTATTTCATGATTGATCCTGAGCTATTATGTCAACACATTATAGCTGGAAAAAAAATATTTTAATTAGTTCTCAAATTTCAATTATTTAAATAATCACCTTCTCTATAAGGAGATATTTTATTGGAATATTTCTCAACAGAAGTATCACTGGCATTTCTGGTGGGATGACTAGTTCACTGTGCAAAATGTTGTATGCATTGCAAGATGTTTAGAAATTCTGGTCCTACCCCAGTAAGTTTCAGATCTCCTCCTTTCTCCTCTCTCCACTGTGACAATCCCAACTGCTTGATACATTAATTCCCAACTTCCCCTCAGAAATCCAAACAATCCCAATGGAGAACCACTCAATGCAAATGAGTACTTAATGCATTTCAAAACAAAGTGCTAAACTTATAGTAGGATAAAAAATGAAAAACATCCCACAAAGAAAATAACAAAAATAATTTTCATTAAATCCTCTACATTCCATTTATAAGCCAGTTTTCTTCATGAAGTATGCATCTCCTTTCCATCCATATAATGGCCTCCAAAGATTTTATCAGTAAAATACGAGTGTAGTAACAAAAGATGGAATCACACAATTGTTTTCCCCCCAGTCCTTACAAAAGATACGAAAGGAGAGAAACATGCAGTCTGTCCACCACATTTAAATCAACTGTCACCACTCTAACTTGGTCTCCTAGTCACAGACCTGTTAGTGTCCCAAATAATGACATTTCCATCAAATCCCGATGTGACTAAGAGTCTTGTGTTAGTATCATATTCAATGTTCTTCACCCAGCTGGTGTGGCCATGTAAAGTGCATACTTTGGAGTTTAGTTTTCTCAGATCCCACAGTGCTATGGTAGTGTCATCAGAGCAAGTAGCAAACAGCCGGTTATCAAGAAATCTGCAAAAGGAGAAAAGAAAAACGGGTACACTTAATCTGTTACTATGAAAAACTTGACTTGAGAAATAGTCTCAAACAAAGCTATTGCACAGTATATAATCACTGTATAAAACCATTGATTCTGATGTACAATAGAGTGGTATAATTCATATAACCATCGGGTATCATGATTTAATTGTTGAGGAAGTCATTTCGGTTTACACTGCTTTATAGAGTTCAAAATTATGAAAAATGCAAAACTATCCTTTTCTATTTACAACACGTTTATGTATAAAGACTGATGTTCAAATTGCTACCATTTTAGGACCACTCAAATTATGTGATGGGCTTAATGTAAAACCTAATTAAAAACTCTATAATTCAGACATTTCACTATTTTGCACTGATATCTCAATTCTAGGTGATAATATATGAGGGGTCAAAAAATTCATGGCCAAGTGAAATTATAAAATAACGGTATTTAAATTAAAAAAAAGGGATTTCTCCATGAACTTTGGGAAATTCCCTCATCCTTATACATACTTGAAATATAAAACAACAAATGCACTCTGGAGCCACTACCATATACATTCTTTTTCATCAGAAATAACCCAAAATGAAGAAACAGAAATGTGGTTTATATACCCCAAGACTGGGGCAGGAACAGGGCAAAGGCAGGGATAGGATGTTGAAGGAGGAGGAAGGAAGGTAGGGGAGAAAGAAAGAACCAGACATAGAGGGCAGGGTACTGTCATTGATTTCATTTCTTGAGATGGGATCTACAGATATATAGTGTTTCTTTAAAGACACACACACACACACACACACACACACACACACACATCCCTCTGGATTCCTTATCCCTCAAACATAAATAGTGGTAGTGACTAAAACATGGGAAGATAAATAAAACTGAATAAGTCTTTAGTGACTAAAAAACTCATTTACAAAATTAATATCCCTTAAACATAAATAGTGGTTTGAGTGGCTAAAAATGGAAAGGCAAGTAAAACTGAATAGACTTGGGAGTCTTCAGTGACTAAAAAATTCATTTACAAAATTAATCCAGTAGCCACAAGCATTAGGATAACTTTCCTGAAACAGATGATTTTAACTTTCCAGGCCTTTCTATTGGCTGAAGCTTCTCCCTGAAGCCCTCTTCACCTGACCTGTAACCTGGTGAATTATTTATTTATTTTTAATGTTCACCTGCTCTGTCTAGACTGGAACAGATTTACCAACCCTCTAAGCTCCCAAAGCTGTCTCTATTTCTGTCATGACATTTGACATTACTATTAAGGAATGACTTCACAAAGCTATACATTTTTGAAAGAAGAACCTGCTGAGTGTGAGATTGGATCTGCAGTACCCCAAAAGTGCTTGATACATAATGCATACTTAACATTATATGCCATGATGAGATAATTTACTGACTAATAGAGAAGGCATTAGAAATGTAACTGTATGGGAATAAGCAAAGATAAGAACATGTATAGGAAAATCTCTACGGTAGTGTCATTTAAACTGACTTTAAAAAAAATCATTTTATTAGGGGCTCATCCAACTCTTATCACAATCCATACATACATCAATCATGTAAAGCACATTTATACATTCATTGCCCTCATCATTCTCAAAACATTTGCTCTCCAGTTAAGCCCCTGGCATCAGCTCCTCATTTTTGCCCCTCCCTCCTGCTTCCCCCTCCATGAACCCAATAATTTATAAATTATTATTTTGTCATATCTTGCACTGTCCAACATCCCCCTTCACCCACTTTTCTGTTGTCCATCCCCCAGGGAGTAGGTTATATGTAGATCCTCGTAATCGTTTCCCCCTTTCCATCCCACCCTCCCTCCACCCTCCCGGTATCGCCACTCTCACCACTGGTCCTGAAGGGATCATCTGCCCTGGATTCCCTGTGTGAACTGACTTTTAAAGATGATCAGGAACCCCTGAAGTAACCAAGGGATAAGCATAGACTTGGAGGCATTTAGAGACATGTTGTATTCTAAGATCAGGAGCAAGTTTGCAACGCTATGTATGGAAAAATAGAGATTGAGATTTAATCTAGTGAGTCCCAATTACTTTTAAAATGATGTACTACATTTCACTGCACAGACTTTTAAATTTAAAAAATTCACCACTAAAAATAAACATTGGGAGCCAGTGGAGGGGTCTGAGGGGCCGGCCCCAATCCCAACTATGTGGACACCCACCCCTCCCCCAAGAAGAATTTACTTTAGAGGACAGCACGAAGCTGCAGCTCGGGGAGAGGGACATGTTTGATCAGAGCACAGAGAGCAAATGAAGGGGGAGGAAGAGAGTAGACCACAACCTGGCCCACCAAGCCTGGAGGATGATAACCCCGCTCAGAATAGCCCATATGACTGGCCCCACTGAGACATGACGTCCCGTGCTAACCCATGACCCTACGGGGACAACACTGGAGGCACAGTGTCTGGATTGGCCTGGTCTGACCCCACCACACCAAGGCAAAACACTAAGAGTGTGTGGCAAAGCAGTGTGGGGAGGAGAGTAGAGAGGTCCCGAGGGAGTGCCAAGGATGTCTTTGGGGTCAGGGCATGGCACCCCATCGGATTCGACTGGAGGACACACTCCTGAATGTCAAAAAACAGACTTTGAACTATTTACAAGTTTTTCCTTTTTTTAATCTATTTATTTTTATCATTTTTTGTGTTGTCATCATTTTGTTTTCTTTTGTTCCTTTGTCTTGCTATGTCTTGTTTTTTTGTGCATATTATTATCTCTGCAGATCTACCTACATAAGATAGTCTGGATGAACAGTCTGGAGGAGAAAACAATGGGGCCGATGGTTCCAGGGGGACATGGGAGAGGGAGAGGTGGGGGAAAGGAGGTGGTGTTGACCAACCCAGGGGCAAGGGAACAACAAGTGATCCAAAATCAGTGGCAAGGAGGGTATGAGAGGCCTGGTAGGGATTGATCAAGGGCAATGTAACTGAGAGAAATTACTGAAACCCAAATGAAGGCTGAGCATGATAGTAGGACAAGAGAAAGTATAAGGAAATAGAGGAAAGAAATAGGAGGCATAGGACATTTATAGAGGTCTAAATACAGGAATGTACATATGTAAATATATTTATATATGATAATGGGGAAATAGTTCTACATACATATATTTATAGGTTTAGTATTAAGGCAGCAGATGGACATTGGGTCACCACTCAAGAACTTCCTCAATATAAGAACACTTTGTTCTTTCAAATAGACATTCCATGATGCACACCCTCCCGACACAATTGCTGAAGATAAATGTGTGCATAAGCAAATGTGGTGAAGAGAGCTGATGGTGCCCGGCTATTAAAAGACATAGTGTCTGTGGTCTTAAAGGCTTGAAGGTAAACAAGCGGCCATCTAGCTCAGAAGCAACAAAGCCCACATGGAAGAAGCATATCAGCCTGTGTGACCACGAGGTGTTGAAGGGATCAGGTATCAGGCATCAAGAACAAAAAAATCTTATCAATGTAAATGAGGGTGAGTGATGATTGGGGACCCAAAGCCCATCTGTAGTCAACTGGACATCCCCTTACAGAAGGGTTGTGAGGAGGAGACAAGACAGTCAGGGTGCAGTATGGCAACGATGAAACATACAACCTTCCTCTAGTTCTTAAATGCCCTCCCCCACCCAGCCCCTTATCATGATCCCAATTCTACTTACAAATCTGGCTAGACCAGAGGATGTGCACTGGTACAGATAGGAATCGGAAACACTGGGAATCCAGGATAGATGATCCCTTCATTCAGGACCAGTGGTGAGAGTGGCAATATCGGAGGGTGGAGGAAAGGTGGAGTAGAAAGGGGGAACCTAGTAGAAGGATCTACATATCACCTCCTTCCTAGGGTATGGACAACAGGGAAGTGGGTGAAGGGAGACATTGGACAGCATAAGATATGACAAAATAATAATTTATAAATTATCAAGGGTTCATGAGGAAATGGGAGCGGGGAGGGAGGGGTAAGAAATGAGGAGCTGATACCAAGGGCTTAAGTAGAAAGCAAATGTTTTGAGAATGATGAAGGCAACAAACGTACAAATGTGCTTGACATACAATGGATGGATGTATGGATTGTGATAAGAGTTGTATGAGTCCCCAATAAAATGATTTAAAAATAAACATTGGCATTGATGATTAGTCCAATCTCTGTAATTCAAATAGAATTATTATTATTTTTATCATTTTATTGGGAGCTCTTACAGATAACATAACATTCCATAGTTCAATCATATCAAGCAATATTGTACAATTGCTACCACAATCAGTTTCGAAACATTTTTTCTTCTTGAATTCCTTGATATCAGCTCCCCTATATTGATTAAATATCCCATGATCTTGTTCTCCCTCCCACTTTTTTTATTGATCCCTTTTTAAATTAAATACTTTTATTGAGGTCTTTACAGTTCTTATCACAATCATACATCCATTGTGTCAAACATTTGTACATTTGTTGCCATCATCATTCTCAAAGCATTTCCTTTCTGCTTGAGTACTTGGTATCAGTTCATTTTCTTCCCCTCTCTCCTTCATGAACCCTTGATAATTTCTTAAAAATCATTTTATTAGGGGTTCGTACAATTTTTTTAAAAAATCATTTTATTAGGGGCGAACCCTTGATTTATAGATTATTATTTTCATATATCATATCATCCTCTATCTCCCTTCACCCACTTTTCTGTTGTCCATTCCCCTGGGAATGGGTTACCATATACATAGATCATTGTAATCCGTCCCCCTTTCTCCCCCACCTTCCTCTTCCCCTCCTGGTATCGTTACTCTCATTATTGGTCCTGAGGGGTTTATCTGTCCTGGATTCCCTGTGTTTTGATCTCTTATCTGTACCAGTGAACATGCTCTGGTCTAGCCGGATTTGTAAGGTAGAATTGGGGTCATGATATTTTGTTGTGGGTCTTTGATGTCTGATACTTTTATTGGTCTCTTCCTGATGATTAGATTTCAAACAATATATGCAAATGAAGTACTTTTCAGTGGAAATAAAGTTCATCTTTTAAAGGATATTAATTTTCACAAAATCTCTCAAAGTGATGGTAGAAAACTGGTCAAATACATATAAAACAATAGAGAATTAGAATCTGACAGAACTAGAAAATCTGTATGCTGAGCAAATAAACCAAGGAAACCCTGTGAAGAAGAATGGGCATCAAGATTTGAGGAAGGCCACACTTAAGATCATGGTTTCATTCAATATTCCTGACTGTGGACGGCCTTGTTATGACAAAGCGCATTGCAGGTGGATTACTGCAGATGTGGTTACGTTAAAACGTGACACTTTGTCATCTCATCTCCCTTTGGGCCCAATGGACATTAGTTCCAGTTTTTAATGTTTTCTGCTTTCTTTTCAATTGAGGTTTTTTTACTGTCATTGTTCTTTTGGTTTTGATTTTTGTATGATCTTGTGTATATGAAATAAAGGACAGGTAGTAAATCTATATGAAAATATTACTTGAATTTTCATGGGATTACAGAACATCCTTGGGAAAACTGATAAAACACTTGAATATTTAAACAGAAATGACCTCATTTTTTTATTGTACTACAAAATACAAATGTTAACAATGTCATATTTCTGCTATCGTAACTTCATTAGAAAGATTGCTGCTTGGGATAAACAATTCGGAGATGAAAAGAATGGCACCCATGGATCCAGGGGAATACGGGAGAAGGGGAATGGGAGAAAGGAAGGGGGTGGGGGGCCAGGCAACCAGCCCAGGGACAAGGGAACAACTAGTGAATAGGATAATTAAGAGAATAAGTTGTAAATCATCTACCACTGTAGATCAGGGATTAAAAATTCTCATTAACCCCTAAAGCAGAATATTTTGGGCTCCAGTAGTAACACTAACCTGATATTATTTACACAGTCTTCGTGAGCTTCAGTAAGTGTTTTTATGTGCTTTGAAGATATAGGGTCAAAAAGCAGAACTTCAGTTTGTTCACAAGCAACTGTCAGCACTGACCTGAAAGTAGAAAATTTCTCTTTAGTTTTATTGAATCCTCTTGTTATCAATATTCATTTATTTACGATTACATATTAACAAATGAATAACTTTTTTCTGTTAGCAGCAAATAATTAAACATTGATACTATCCACCATATGCAAGAGTCGTAGAAAACAGTATGTTCATACATTATATTGTGTGCCATGGAAATGATTACACCTCATAATGATCCTATAGGACCGAGCAGAACTGCCCCTTAGGGTTTCCAAGCTGGTAATCCTTACGGAAGCAGCCTGTCAACATCTTTCTCCTGCAAATTGGCACAAATTATCTTTGGAGGAGATCTTTGAAGTATCTGTGAAAGTTTTAAATTGTAAATGAACCTTTTGGTAAAATGTTTTTTCCCGAGAATTTAACCTATAAAAATAACCACTTACTTGGAAAAAGGTATCAATAATAGCTGAACAACATGAAGAGTATAGTCAATGGCACTGAATACACAAGTAAAAGTTGTGGCATTGGAGAATGCTTTGTTATATATATTTTTGCCACAATCAGAAAAAATTACATAAATAACGATGTGTACAAGGAAAAGAAAATGTTCTAGAATTGAATATGGTGACAATTATACCGCTGTTCTTGATATGATTGAATTATTGAATTGTATGACATGTGACTGAAGTGCTAATAAAACAGTTGGGGAAAAAAATAACCACTTGGAAGTACAAATAAGCACATGTAAGCATATGCTTCACTGGGGAAAAAACTGAAAGTAACCTAACTGGTTTGCCAAAGGGGGAAGGATTGATTATCCAGGTCACAGTATACTCATACTTTCTAATATACAGTAATTTAACAGAAAGAGGTAGCTGTAGCTTTACACACAATGAAAAAAAAAAAAAACCCTCTAAGGAGGTCAAAATACTGCTACAAAAATCAACGAAACCCTTATTAAAAATTTCAAAATGTGAAGCTATTAATTCTTGACATATCTTCCATCTATATCCACACATTTCTTAAGGCCGTGTTTCCATCTCTTCCCCCCCCCTTCCCTGTACCCTTTCTTCCATGTCCACCACATAAAAGTGGCAGTGTGGGCATCCTTTGGCAACTCAAATTGTACTCCTTTTAAATGTTCTTGGATTTTAGGGAACCAAAAAGAAGTCTGAGGGAACAAAATTAAAGCTGTAGGATAGGTGGGGTAATTTTTGTCAGTATCCCTAAAAAATTCTTGTAAGGCAGTCTTTGCTACCAATGAAGAATGAGGAGACACATTGTCATGTTGGGGCGGAAATTCCTCAGTGTAACTTTCCTGGCTTTTTCCTCACCAATGCAGTACTTTGTTTTCTTAAAATATTTCTGTAACAAGTCATTGCGATCATCCTGTATCTGTCAATAAACTCCATCAAAATGACTCCCTTGGGATCCCCCTCTGAGTTAACCTCTCTGCCTTGAATTTAATTGGCCCAGCAGCTCCCCTCAGAAGTTGCTGTTTGACTGGAACATGCTCTCTGGATCATATTGATAAGCCCAAGACTCATCCTGTTTACAATTTGTTTCATAAAATTGTCTTTATTAGCTTTGCTCTTGCTGAAAGGCCTGATGGAAAGATCAGCAGTTCCTTTAAGGGACTGATCTTCATATAAGCCCCCTACACCCTCCACTGATTTTTAGTATCCCTTTTTTGAAGGCATCATCTGTAATAACATTAAGTAAGTATATTACCGAGTTTGCCTACAGGCACCCACTGACTGCAGAGGCATGGTCAAACATCTTATTTTGAATAAACTTACTTGGTAGACAGATAGGACAAGGAGGGAATGGGGAACAATGGGAGGAATTCCAGCACAAAGGGATAGGAAGGGCAGAAAAGTCCCATTTCCTTTACCTATAATTTTCAAAGGGGCAGAAATTCCCAACACAAGAAAGAGGGTAAAAGGGTGTGGGCTGGGATAGGCAGGATATGCCCCCAATGCCACAAATGACTGAACTAACCAATGAACTAATTCTTGGAGTAGAAAGAAGAATCCAGCCAATGTCCTTGCTAGATGACAAGACACAACATGAACTTAGGGGCACACAACATTTGTAAAGGGGAAGTACTAGAAGGAGCCAGCCATTAGTAAAAGGTCTACCATCAATATAGTAAAACTTATCTTTCTATCCAATGGCATGCTCCCATACTAAGCTGTGCTGGATGTGACCCTTAAATAAACACTCCATCCACTGGAACCTCTTACTTCTTGTTCGAATTGCTTCTTACTAGTATGACAAGAAGGAGCCCTAAAGGCCTGGTGGTTACATGTTGGGTTGTGATCTGTAAATTCACCAGCTCAAAACCACCAGGGTTAGATACTCCTGTAAAGAGCTGCAGTGATCGCTGAAGACAAAATGGGTGCATAAGCGAGCGTGGTGAAGAAAGCTAATGGTGCTTACCTATCAAAAGATATAGTATCCATGGAGTAGGGAACCAGTGAAGAGATGAGAGGCTGGCTGCAATCCCAACTACTTGGACACCTGCCCCTTCCCCCAGACGAATTTATTTCAGAGGACAGCACTGAATCTGCAGCTCTGGGAGAGGGACATATCTGATTGGAGCACACGGGAGCAGATGAAGGGGGAGGAGGAGAGAGTGGGGCACATCCTGGCCCACCAGGCCTTGAAGACAATGTTCCCGCACAGAGCAGACAGTCCACAGAGGACCACATGGCTGGCACCACTATGAGACACGACTGGCCTCACTGACCCATAGCACCACAGGGGACAACAATGGAGACACTGTGGGAATTGCGCCCGATCTGATCCCGCCACACCGAGGCAAAACACTAAGGGGGTGCAATAGAACAGCAAGGGAACGGAGCTGCAAGGTCCCCAGGGAATGCCAAAGGAGGACTTTGGGGCCAGGACTTGGTGCCCCAACAGACTGGACTGGAAAACACTCCTAAAGGCCAACAAACAATCCTTGAACTAACTACAAGCTTTTCTTTTTTGTTGTGTTTTGTTTTTTGTCATTGGTTTGTTGTTGTTGTTGTTTTGTTGTATATTGTTGCTTGGGTTTGCTCTGTCTTGTTTTTAATGCATGTTATTATCTCTGCAGGTCTGTGTAAATAAGATAGGCTCAATGAACAATCTGGAGGAGAAAAAAACGGGATCGACAGTTCTCGGGGGACATGGGAGAGGGGAAGGTGAAGGGAAAGGTAGTGGTGTTACCAAACCCAGGGAAAAGAGAACAAGTGATCCAAATTGGTGGTAAGAAGGGTGTAGGAGGCCAGGCAGCGGGTGATCAAGGGAAATGTAACCAAGAAGAATTACTGAAACTCAAATGAAGACTGAGCATGATAGTGGGACAAGAGGAAAGTCAAAGGAAATAGA